GCTTAATTGGAGTTTCCTCTGGGAAATTTTTTTTTTGCCCCGCTTAAATTTCTTAAGTGCTATGCTTCCTTTGCCGCCCTCTTCCCGCTTTTATAAAGATGTCCGGTCGACAGTAACGTCCCTTCTCTGGAATGCCCGCAAGCCTCGCATAAGGTACTCCTTTCTTACTCTTTCTAGAGATGATGGGGGTCTCGCTCTACCGGAATATGAATGGTACCACTGGTCCTTTGTTCTCCGTTCGGTCTGGCACGTCCGCATCAGCTGCAGCATCTCCCTTTTCTCTCCCTGAAAGCTAAGGCGGCTAACCCTGTGCTAGGTCTTATGTCTTGTGTCTTATGCTCTGCAGATTTTCCATCGGGTCGAGAAGCACATTGGCTCTGTCCCTGTCTGGCATTCAGCCACACCAGTATTTCTTAATAGAGCGCTTGACATTGGTGGTCAGCCCATCACGAACTCCTGGTGGATCTCATCTGGAATCCGTGTTTTGGGTGATCTGTTTGACGACTCTGGCCTCCTCACGTTCCAGGCTCTCAGCTCTAAATTTCCTATCCCTCCTTCTTCCTTCTATTTCTTTCTACAACTGCGATCTGTCCTCAGAACATGTGAGATTTCCTTCTCTGCTCCCTTGCCTACTCACCCCCTTTGCAAATTTGTGGCTTCCCTGTCCAAATCTAATAGACCAGTCTCCGCGCTGTATGTGTTTATGCGTGATGCTGGTCAGGTTATTCCTCCTGTTGCCCATAAATGGGGTGATATCTCATCTCCTTCTCCATTGTGCTGGCGCACCATTTTTAAAAATATTAAGCGGGCTTCTAGAAATCCCAATCACCAGCACGTTCAGTTTAGTTTTGTGCACAGGTTGTACTGTACTCCACGATTGCGCTATGCTATGGCTCTCGATCCTGATCCCCTTTGTAAATTGTGCCCACTTAGAGCCCTTGGTACTTTTCTCAACATGTTCTGGGAATGTCCACCTGTGGCCGCTCTCTGGCACGCGGTCTCCTCCTTTCTTTCTGATCTGCTAGATGTGACTGTCCCTTCTATGTGTATGTATATATCTGTCTATATATATATATATATATATATATGCGAATATATTTGGTGTGTGTGTGTATATATATATATATACATACATACACAACCCCAAATCAGAAAAAGTTGGGACAGTGTGGAAAATGTGAATAAAAAAATAAAGCAGTAATTTACTAATTTCCCTTAACTTTTATTTCATTGCAGACAGTATGAACACAAGGTAATTCATGTTTTTTTTGTCAACATCATTTGATTTGTAAATAAATATCCATTCTTGCCATTCAGGCTTGCAACACATTCCAAAAAAAGTTGGGACAGTACAGCATTGACCACTTTGTACAGTTCCCCTGTCTTTTAACAACACTTAAAAGACGTTTAGGCATTGATGAAATCAAGTGACTAAGTGTTGCAGGTGTTAGTTTGTCCCATTCTTCCTGCAAACAACGTTTTAGGTGCACAACAGTACGGGGTCTTCGTTGACGCATTTTTCGTTTCAAAATGCACCAAACATTCTCTATAGGAGACAAACCAGGGCTGCAGGCAGGCCAGTCAAACATCCGCACCCTCTTCTTACGCAGCCATGCCTTTGTTATGCACGCAGTATGTGGTTTGGCATTGTCTTGCTGAAATAAGCATGGGCGTCCCTGGAAAAGACGTCGTCTTGAAGGCAGCATTTGTTCCTCCAAAACTGAGATATACTTCTCAGCATTGATGGTGCCATCGCAGAAGTGCAAGTTACCTTTGCCGAAGGCACTGACACAACCCCATACCATGACAGACCCTGGCTTTTGGACTTGTATCTAGTAACAGTCTGGATGGTCCTTTTCCTCTTTGGTCCACAGCACACGGCGTCCATTTCTTCCAAAAAATACCGATTCGTCTGACCACAATACATGTTTCCACTGCACAATGGACCATCCCAGATGCCTCCGAGCCCAGAGAAGTCGACTGTGCTTCTGGACACTATTTATGTAGGGCTTCCTTTTGGCACAGTACAGTTTTAGCTGGCATTTCCTAATGTAACTACGCACTGTAGTGCTTGAGAGTGACTTCCTGAAGTAGTCCTGAGCCCACGCAGTTATATCATTTATTGATGAATGATGGTTTTTAATGCAGTGCCGTCTGAGGGCTCGGAGATCATGGCCTGTCTGGGGAATACGATGCTATAATTTCCGACAGCACCACATCTGGTTGTAACTGACTCTTTGCCAGAATCTTCGTTGCCATTTTCACTGTCACATAATGGGACAGAGTTTCCTTGTGTTATTGCCAGATGTTTCCTTGTGTTATTAGCAGATTAGCAACCTACAGTTGTAGCATTTTAATGTCTGTTAGCTTGGTTTCTGTGCTTGTACATGCATCACTGACCACGTGAATGCTGTTTAATGGATAATTAATGCATGTGGAGTGTGTGTTAGCATGTAACTGTAACTCTCCCTCTGCAGGATGGACGTGCCGTGATGACTGTCAGTACCAGTGTATGTGGACCACCGTGGGCTTGTACCAAGCTGAAGGGTACAGCATACCGCAATTCCATGGCAAGGTCAGGAGCCGTCAGCGTTTAGTGTCTGGTTCGTCTCCCTCACCCCTCCCTTATAAGAAGGATCATTGCTTATAATAATTGTATTACCCGGCCTTTGGGAAATGCATATGGTTTGGCACTGCCACCACAGTTTCTCAAAAACCGTTTGAGTGATATTTTTCAAACTTTGCTCAGGCATTGTATAAAACTGATAAAATTTTGATACAGATCATCCCAAAATTGAAGCATCACCACATAGTGATATTTAAAAAGGGGGTAGTTTTGACACTTGGTACTATTAAAACGATAACTCAAAAAGTTTTTGACATATCTTCTTCAAAATTACGAAATTGCCTCAAAACTGAAGCATTGCCACTTAGTGGCAGCAAACAGAAGGGACAGCAAATGACATTTGAGCTTATGAATGTGATGAGTCATAAAGTATTTCATGGATCTTACTACTGCTTCACAAAAACTTTGTATGGATGAAGATCTACACTTTAATTCATTTTCAAACAGATTACCTTAAAAATGAAGCAGCAGCACTGTGTGGCAGCAAAGGAAGGAAATGGCAGCTGTAAAAACCACTTAGTCTTGTGAACTCTAAAAGTATTTTACAAATCTTTTTCAAACTTTGCAGGCACATTATAGCTCTGACAAATTGCAGGTGATCAGATTTTGAGACCGATCTCCTTGAAACTAATGCAAGGCCACATGTTTTTAGCAAAAAAGGGTTAGTTTTACACATTTGATCCCATTAGTGAGAGAGCTCAAAAGCATGTCAGATTTTTTTCAACCTTTGTCGGTCATGCCAAAACTGAAGCAGTGCCACATAGTGATACTTTTTGACTTTTAAAAGCTTCTTTATTAACACAAATGCACAATTAATCCTTACTCAAAAAGATAGATGAAAAAATAAGGAAAAACAAACAAAAAATAAAACAAGTTATCAGTCCACAAATTCACCATCCACATCATACTTTCAAAACTAGACTTTGATTGTCGCCAAGTTCACACAACACTCTGCATTGCCCCCACACCGTGGAGAACTCCTGCAGGGTATGGGTCAACACAGAGTACGCATACTCCACCCTGAGCCGCATCGCTACCAGCCCCACCAGTATAGACTTAGCGTCCGTCAGCCCAGCCCCTCTCAGCTTATTTTTTCGAGACAGCCAAACCGCAAGTTTGGCCTGACCCACTAGAAAATTCAACAAGCACAATTTGGCTTTCTCACGTACCATATATTTCGGACCATAGATATAAATGACGCTGGAAAAATCTGCCTCGGACCCACCAAACCATGCCTCAAGCTTTGAGAACATGGTCCCAAGCCTTTCGCACCTCAAGAAAAGATGCACCACAGTTTCATCTTGCCCACAAAAAGGGCAGTCCACTACCACCGATGGGTCGATGTGCGCCACATGTCGATTCGTGGCCACAGCCCCATGCACCAACCTCCACTGCAGGTCAGCTGTACGCTTCTCTATAGGGGGTTTGTACAGGGTCTTCCAGCAACCCATGGGGGAAGCGTCAGGTGCCAAATTGCCCAACCACCTAGAAGCTGCCACCCCTGTCAGAGAGCCGTTATTAAGAACTTTCACACTCACTTCATAAAGCGCCTTCTTAGAGGCCCCTGCAAAGTCTCGTAGCTGCGGAGAGAAAGAGAGTAACAAACCAACACCCTCCCGATGCCCCTCCACTGCTGCTGAAACATGCAAAGTCGGGAAAACCCGTCTTGGATCCCCTACCCCGTCCTCCAAAACCATGCGCCGTTGAATAAAAAAACGACGTCAGTGCACTGGTCTGAATCAGGGGGTTGTAAAACAAGGGCTCCTCCTCCACACTGATACACGGCAGAGAGCCAGGCCTATCAACTCTCAACACAGATGACCACACTTTTAGAACAGACTGATAAAACTTGGTGGTCGCTGATATATCCACAGGTTTCAGGTCCAGTACAAACAGATGTCTGTCATAACCTAGGTCCTCCACTCGCCGCAGCAACATGCATGCTGTGTCAGCCCACAAGAACTCTCCGCCATACAACAACCTCTGAGCCGTCTTTAGTCTGAAAGCCGCGACACGGCCAGCAATGTCAAGTCCCTGACCACCTTCCCCCACTGGCAGATAAAGCATTGAGGCACAGGTCCAATGTTGACTGGACCAAAAAAAGTCTACAAGCTGCTCTCTGATCAGCACGGGCAGTGGCTCCAACACCATGAACCTGTGCCACAGTCTGGATGCCACCAGGGTATTAGCCACCAACACCCTCCCCCTGTAGGACAGCTGAGGCAGAATCCACAACCAATGAGATAACCTGGTACATACGTCTTCCAGCAGCCCCTCCCAATTCTTATTGACGTAATCTCCCGGTCCAAAATGTACACCAAGATATTTCATACCCGTTCTAATCCACTGTAAGGTACCTGGTAGCTTCGGCGGTACTTTACCCTGCCAACGGGCACTCAAAAAACACAAACACTTATTCCAATTAACACGCACTGAAGATGCCTTCTCGTGCAGCTCTAACCTGTGCGTAAGCGCCTGAACGTCCCCTTCCCCCCGCACGCACACCGAAACATCATCAGCATAAGCAGACAAAATAATGTGCCCCATGCCCGGGAACCTCTGCATCTCAGCCCTCAGCCGACACAGCAAGGGCTCGATGGCTAGACAGTATAGCTGACCAGACAAAGGGCAGCCCTGCCGTATACCCCTCTGCACTTTAATGGGGTGGCTCAGCCCTGACCCCACCTTAAGCATCACTAAAGCATCAGCATACAAGAGCCTTATTCGTGACAGAAAGGATTGGCCACTGCCAAAAGCTGCAAGAGTGGAAAAAAGGTACCCATGAGTCACTCTATCAAATGCTTTCTCCTGATCAATGGAAACAACCCCTAAGTCAAGTGAATCTAGGCTACACAGGGCCATCACGTCACGCATCAAAAAAAGATTGTCCATTATGGTGCGCCCAGGAACACAATAGGCCTGACCAGGATGCACTAAGTCCCCCATGCAACATGCCAACCTATTAGAAAGACGGTTTGACAGGATTTTATAGTCAGTGCACAACAAGGACAATGGCCTCCAGTTGACTAACAGTCCCAAATCCCCCTTCTCTCGTGCAGCTAGTCGGCAGCCTTCCGGCCATCAGAGTCCAGTTAAAAACTTCGTACATGTCCGGACCCAATAAATCCCAGAAGTGTCTGTAAAAATCTGCTGGCAGGCCATCAATGCCTGGTGCCTTTCCAAGCGACAACCGCTGAACCGCCGACGTTAATTCATGGAGCCGAAGGTCCCCGTCCAGGGCCTCCCTCTGCGCCGGTCCCAGGCTGGTCAATCCCGTCAAGAGCACCTCCATGCTGGACTGATCACACTCTTCTTCACCAAAAAGCTCTGTATAATAGTCCTCTGCATTTCCGCCGGAGCCACAGTCAGTGACCCATCTGGACGCCGAAGGTGTAACATATGGGACTTGGGTCTCTTCGCCTTGCCCAAACTGAAAAAGAAGGAGCTAGCGCCATCCATATCCCTAATCTGAGACATCCTAGTCTGGACTAATGCCCCTTTTGCCCGTTTATTGAGGAAGGAACTCAAGGCCTTCCTCTTACTTTCCTATTACTTTGCAAAGAGAAGGCCAGTCGGTATAACTCAAAAATTTAGTTGGTCTTTTCCAAACTTTGCAGGCACATTGTATGGGTAAAGGTCTGGACCTTTTCAAATTTTGAGATAAATCACACCAAAGTTGAAGTAGTGTTGCTTGGTAAGTGAAAAGAGAAGGACAAGATGATTAGAGGCTGTGTATATGTGTTTGTGTGTGTGTCTAAAAAAAGAGCGTGATTAACCATGTTCTACCATTCAACATGTGAGTTCAGCCATCAGGAAAGATACAGTCACTTGTTCACCAGTATTTTTTATTGTTTTGTGGGCAAGGAAGTAGTGCTGGGCGGTATACCGGTTCATACCGAAAACCGTTTTTTATTATTGTTATGATATAAATTTTTCTTATACCGCAATACCGGTTTAAAAAGCCTACACAACGTTCGGAAAGTGGCGCAGCTTGAAACTGTTTAAGGGGTGACCTTTTTCACTGCTGCACCGCTAAAAATGTACCGGGAAAGATCAGAAACGGAAGATATAGCTGACGCTGGAGGTGAGATACTGGGGTTGTCAAAAATCGATTCTCAGATACTAATCGATATAAAAAATTAGTATCTGATTAAATACTCATTTTCTGTATTATTGATATCAACAGTGCGGATTTCGCCTCATTCGCCACACTTCACACAGCACCACTACAGCGCAGGTGCGCGTCGTGCACGCACACACTCGTGCAGCCCCTCCTGAATGCACACACACCAAGTTGGCCGGACATGGCATATGCTGCAGTTGAAGGCACTTCGCAAGCTGCTTTAGTTAAAAAAAAATAAATAATAAAAAACTACTAGTGCCATTTCGAAGTATTTCTCAGACGAGCATGGAAAGGCTAAGGATGTCGAAAAGCCTCTATACAAACAGTTCTACAAAGTTAACTCTTGACCACTTTCGTGTGTCGCTGTGATCTTGGTGCTAAATAAGCACATAATTTCATAAACTACACTGGGACCCCAAAACAATGTTCTTAGCTATTGAATATAAATATAAAATGGGACCTTTTATTTCTATTTTATTCATATGACATGTTTATAATTCACTATTAAATCTGGCTATAGAATTAATAAAAAAAACGAACAAACATTTAATTATTCCACTATTAAGTGCTGACAAGTTTCACCGCCGGCACCGGTGATATTAAAAAGTATGTTGGTTATGGATCAAATTTTTCAAGGCAGAAATAAGGAGAAATTAGTAAAAAGGTATTCATTAATGCATTAAATGTAATTGCATGTGAGGTGGTCGTCTAAGAGTTCAGCAGCTTATCCACTGTTCTGGGGAAAAAGCTGTTTTGTAAATGGTTTGTCCACGAATGTCATATGAGGAGAGGTTAGCTGAGCTGAATCTGTTCAGCCGCGAGCAATGGAGACTAAGGGGGGACATGATCCAGGTCTATAAGATTCTAACAGGTCTGGATGCTGTTCAGCCAATTGGCTATTTCAATATTAGTTTAAATACTAGAACTCGTGGCAGGTGAAAATTAGCAGGAGAACATTTTAAAATGATTTTGAGGAAGCACTTCTTTACACAGCATGTAGTTAGAGTATGGAATAGTATTCTTGCTAGCGTAGCGCAAGCTAAAACCCTGGTGTAGGTGCCAGATATCTGTTTTACACACTGAAATTTAAATTAAGTTTATATTTGATATTTTATATATGTTCATGATTCACATAATTCATCATTTAGAATTTATAATGTAGATGGTTAAAACTTGGATTTAGTGTCATTGCACTTTAATGATAAAAATAGGTTCTGCCACTTTAAGCACGTAGGGGCAAAGGCTGCGCATTGTGCTTGATATTGCTTTAGGATGGATAGGAGCTGAGAAGCCTGGAGTCACACGGTTTTCTGATCGTGTCGTCGTCCTGTTGTCGTGTCGTGTTCTGTCAGCTTATAGACTTGCGTGCGCATGAGACAGTATTTATTTAGAACCTTTGACTTGTATATACACTCACCTAAAGGATTATTAGGAACACCTGTTCAATTTCTCATTAATGCAATTATCTAATCAACCAATCACATGGCAGTTGCTT